CCCCTCCCGCACCCGCCTCCCACTGCTTCCCCACCGACCACGGTGCCTGCCCAGCCTGAGCCTCCTGTGCAGGGTGCGCGCTTGGACACGCGTGGTCGTTGTTTTACGAACATGTGTGTGGAAGACCAAGACTAGGAGCGAACTTACGTGGTGCGTGTGCCCCAGCCCGGGGACCAGTACTCAGCTGTCCTTACTCTTCCTCCGCGCGCTCCTTCTGCAATTGGATCCTCGGGTACGGATTACTCTCTTTAGATCCTGAAAATGTTATGGCCAAGCAGTTATGGGTCGGGTGGGGAAGAGTCAAAATCGAAAGCACACGAGTGAGTGTCTAGTGGTTTTAACTGTTAAGGGTTCTCATGATAGCGGAGACGAGCGGTCCAAGCGTGGAGGCGCACGGAGGTGGACGATCCCTTTTGGTTCCTCCTTGGAAATCCACATACTGGTCCCTCCTCCTGAGTTGGCTTGTGTCCCCTGACCCCACAGTGAACACAGAGTCGCAGGCTGAATGTGAGCCAGTAGCAGCAGGCTGCCAGGGGGCTACTGCTTCTCTCAGGGGTACTTTGGGGGGCAATATGGGTGTTTTGCTTGTTTTAATTTTTCGTTTAGACTATTTCATTTCTGTCTCTCATTTTAAGTACTCTTATTATTAACAAGTCATTCTTCATTAAAGAATTTTACAGTCAGAGATAATCGCTGTATTGAAACATATTCTTCCATTTCTTATTTTGTATGTGTGTGTGTGTGTGTGTGTGTGTGTGTGGTAGCTCTGTGGGAGATTATAAAGGTTCTGGATTTACATATTTTGAGTGTTTGCTTTAAATAAATAAAATACTATAAAAATTTCAAAAGTGAGTATTTATTTAAAATGAGCAAAGAAATCACAATCATAGCATTTTTAAAAGCTGATAATGTCATATTTTCTCTCACTTTTCTGGTTTTATTATGTCCTATTAAAATTTCCCCTTCATATTTGAATTTTTGTATGAGCATTAATTCAGAAAAATAAATATATAATTTTAAGGCATTACATTGAATCAAACTCTGTAGTTCAAATTAGTCCCCTGCTTCATCTGTTGCCCTCTGGATGAATATATGTAGGGGTTCTGTAATGGAACCAATTTGGGGTTAGTTTCATTGCCTATTTTTCTCTGCCTACAATATTTTGAGTTGCTTTCAAAGACATTAAAATGTTAATTCCACTTTCATCAATCTGTTTGGTTGAAATTGGCTCTTTGAAAGCATGGTAAAAACTAAGTAACAGCAGTTCAATGTCAGATATTCATTTTCATAGCATGATCAACAATATATTACTAAAATGAAAATCTTGTTCCAAGAAAGTTGTTACATTGAATACAATATCATAAAATACATTGAGAAATGAAAATTTTAAATTTCTTTGTTTCTTTAAATATGTGAGGTAATATTACCAATCATATTTTTATTGGAATATTTACCTTTTAGCATGAGTTTATATCCAAGATTTCCTATTTTCAGAGTTAAAATATATTCTTATTGTGTCATGCTGTTGCACAATTTTTATAAATTATCTTTATTTGGTATTTTTAATTTAGGTAATAGTATGGTTTTCCTGCAACGCATGATGCTGCATTTCACTGGTACAACTAATACAATTATGAGGCCCATTGCCTTTGCATATTGAAAGATGAATAAAGTAAGGTTCTCACCTTTAGACAATTTACACCTTGTAGGAGGCAAATACAAAATAAATACAGAAGTGATAAGTGCTAAAATGATGTTACAAATGAAGTGTTGGTCACTACAAAAGCAATAGTATAATTATGTTAGTAAGGGTTATAGGTGGCTTTATAGAGAAGGTCCCATTTCTGTTGGATTTTAAAGAATGACTCACTTTTGAAACAAGAGTGATTGAAGGAAAGATATTTTAAAGCAAAGGATAGAAACTAGAAAATATACAAAAGTAGGGACTGTATGCTAGGAATCAGTCTGGTCCAATGCAGCCAGTGTTAACAGACTCTCAGAGAATAAAGTAGAAAGATTGATTGAGACCTGACTCATGGGCTACGTTGCACAAGCAGGTAGAGACTTTAAAGATTACTAGACATGCTCTGAGCCATTTTGAATTGTATTTCTCTGATGGAAGGAGTAGAGAGGAATAAACTGAGAACATTGGAGAATAAGATCACTTAAGAGGCTGGTGCTACAGCTTAGAAAGTATATCACAGTCCCCCCATTCTAGGTTCCACAAAGGAATTCAGGCATTCAGGTACCTTCCATTCTGTTGTTCTATATCCAGGAAGGCATTGTACACATATGCAAGGTCAAAGGTTGAATGCAATATCCAGACAGTTAGATGGAAAAAAGTGACTAGTTGAGAACCCACAAGTAATATACATATACTTCTGGTTATACTGCATGTGCACATGGCCACACCTAGATGCAAGAGCAGCTAGAAAGGTGTAATGTCTACTACCAAGGTTGCTATAAGCTCATCTTATTATATGGAGTAATATAATATTTGGAGCCAAAAATTCTGTCACAGCTCTAAAAGTATATGCAATAATATCAAAAGATATTAAAAGACCTTTAATTTAACTTGACAATTTCTAGAGTTGAGCGTAAGCTGGGTTAAGTATAGTGAACCTATACTACTGAGACAGAAATTGATTGATGATGTGGGATGAGAGGTGATGAAGAATATAAGACTAGTTAGTTCTTTTGACCTTTAAGTCACTATTTTATCATTGTTATTATTCATCATTTTTAATGTTTTAACTAATTTATGTTATTTTTAATGTATTACTACTCTTATTATTGTTGAAGAAAAATATATTAGGGGTCTTTCCATAGTGGTACATGGTTTCAAGAAAGAAATTTTTAAAAATATATTCTAAAACTGTAAGTCACAACATGTAATATTGGTGAAGGAAGAACTATTAAAATGATTTCCAAAACCGATGGAGGTTAATGAGACTAGATTTAACTGAAATGAAATTTTTGCATGTTCTCCTAATTTATCTGCAATTGTTTTAGAAAGTATGTTTATTTGGCATCAAGTATACTAGGTTTTAGGGACTGATAGGAATTCTCAGACAGGCAGAGTCTCATTTTAACACGCTGTACACAGAGCTTGGTAGAAGACCATAAAACTGCTGATATACCAGTCTTTCCAGAGAAGCACAAACTTAAAGCAGTTTCAGTTCGAAATTTGTGTTGAGTGTAGTATCTTCACTCCTGAGTCCAAGTTCCAATTTGTGAAATTAAAACAACAGATTGGCCTCCCTCCAGTGCCTGTGACATCTGGTTTGAGATCATGATAAATATGTATGCAATGACTGTTAAATTCTACTGCTGGAAATGCCTTTTAATAAATGTGCCCAAAACTTTTCAAGGATAATTCATTTTAAGCTAAATAATTTAAAAAAATATATTTTTATTGATTTCAGAGAGGAAGGGAAAGGAAGAAAAAGAAACATCAATGATGAGGGAGAATCATTAATCAGCTGCCTCCTGCACGCTACACACTGAACACTGAGGGTGGAGCCTTCAACCCTGGCATATGCCCTGACCGTGGAATCAAACTGATATCTCCTGGGTCATAGGTCAAAGCTCAACCACCGAGTCAAGCCAGCTGAGCTAAGCTACAGAATTTTTAAACTGTGGCTCTACTGGCAAAAGCTACTATTTTACATAGGTTGTACTTATCCTTTTTATACCTCCAATGTCTTCAAAATGAGCATGTGCTGAAGGAAAAGACTTATGAGAAGTAGCACAATCTCAGAAAAAGGTTCACTCCAGAAAGTGTACTCATCTTTGCATTCCTTGATTCAGACTCCTCCTGAGCGCTCTCTGAAGGGTCCAAGATCCCCGAATGTCTTGAGTTCTGTATGTAGATGGGCTTATTCCATAAAACTTGAGGTTCTCCAGTCCAAATATGAACAGCTGAGTTAGGTCAGTGAGTGGAGAGCTACCCAGGAATTACCCTTCCCAAATAGTAGAATATGACCAAGCCTGAAGGTGGACTTCGGTGGGGAAGCATAGGACTTGGTTGGAAAGTTTGTAAGGAGGAATCTCCGAAGGTCGGGGCCTCTATGGAGAACTTGCCAAAGGCGGCAACTCCTGCCTTGACTTTTCTGAACAAGTCTGAGCCCCCGAGTGTTTTACTGGAATCTTTATGTTTAGTCTTTGGACGTCCTTGCTTAAAGGACACTGCAGACGCATGTGTCTTCTCAAGGATGCTTATCCTGCTCATAGTATCTAGTTAATTTTAGTTCAAGCTGTTGCTACAGTAAAAGCCTAAGGAGGCAGGAGAATGGGGCTGTTTAGTTTCTCAAGCCAATCAGTTCCTTAGCCCTCTCTTTCACAGAAACATGAGTCATTATTCATCCATTGCTCAGCGTCTGCTGGTCAGCCCCAACAGACTTCAAGTCTTGTAACTGAGAGGAGCTCTTATTTTGAATGTGATGCTAATTTTTCTTAAGATTATATGTTCAGTACATTTCACCAAAGTTTGGCAGAATCAGCATTCTCTGTTCGTTTCCACCTATCTTGTCCTTCTCTTCTCTCCTCTCCAGTCCTTCTACACCTCCTGCTTCTTGGGATATTATGCAGAGCCTGGTGAATCAGACATTTCTGTTTACAGCCAAGCATTCCACACATTATTCTGCTGGTTGTCATGGTGTCTTCATTTCCAAACAAATACAAACTGTATTGGTTATCTGCCACTATAAAGTTGTGGAATCAAATATACACAAATTATTTCAGATTAAGACTCTAGAAAAGCTGTTTCTCTTTTAGAAACCATTGTAAATGTCAAGATGTTTTGAAGCACTCTCAGGAAAACTATTTGGAAACATATACTTAAGTTAAACTGAAGTTCCATACGACCTGGCCATTTCAAACTAAGTATAGGTCCAGAAGAAATGTGGATACATGTGCATAAAAACTTGAAGAGAATGATCATAGTAGCAATATGGATAAAAGCTCCAAACTGAATATGACTAAATGTCCACCTAAAATAGCTAAATAAACTTTGTGATATTGGATAGTGGAATATGTAATAGTAATGAACATAATCAAACTACACCTAAACACAACATAGATCTGACAGTCATAATGGTGAATAAAATAAATTGCACACTAGAAAATACATGTTATTTTATTCCATTTATATAAAGTTAGCAAATAGGCAAACTTAGTCTTTGATGAGAAAAATAATAATAGTGAGCATCTTGGATCAGGATGGAGTGATTATTGCATAAAAAGAGCCCAAGAAAGTTTCTGGGATTTGGGAGTGCTCCTTTTTTTATGGTGTTTTTTTGTTTGTTTGTTTGTTTTTTTATTTCAGAGAGAGGAAGGGAAAGGGAGAGAAACATCAGTGATGAGAGAGAATCATCAATTGGCTGCCTCCTGCATGACCTTTACTGATTGAGCCCGAAGCCCGGGCATGTGCACTGACCGGAAATCAAACCGTGATCTCCTGGTTCAAGAGTCTACACTCAAATATTGAGCCACACCAGCCAGGTGGGAGTGCTCCTATTT